TTGAATGAGTGCGACTGAAAGAAGGAAAATTAGAGCATTTTAATATGCATGCCGTTTTCCTCTTTTACATGGAATAAACCTCTTATTAAATGTCGAAGTATTTTTATTCCTTCGTATATTCAGAAATGCCTCTGGAATTTATAACACTAGTCCTCAGTTTCACCAATCAATTTTCAATTATATCAATCTGTAAAAATTTAAAATGACACACTTTTGTTCGGAAAATTTGTCATTTTAAATTTTAACAGCCTGATAAATTTTAAAATTGATTGGTGCAACCGGGCATAGATCTTTTAATCAAAGATATTTAAATATCAACAAATCGACAGTGGCCCCGCCCCATAAAACGATAACAATATCTGTAGTTTCACTGAATATATTTACATTTCAAACTAATATTTACTTTACAAAGCAAAAACATAAAAAAATAATATGAATAATTTGAGCGGAAATAGTAATCAGCAGGGATAGGATTTTAAGGCATTTGCCTATTTTGTCTGCTTCGTCGTATGTATAAATAAATTAAAGAATCACGCGTTTTATGTCTTTCTACACTAATACTATGATTTTTAAATTGCCTTTTTTGTGCCTTTTTTGACTATATTGCCTTTTTCTGCCTTTTTGTAATATTTTGCCTTTTTTTTGCCTATTTATCTATTTGAAGGTTTACATTGTTCAACGAGACAAAGTACTGATATTTGTAACAGATGCCGCACCCTATATGAAAAAAAGCGTAGTAGGGATTCAGTTATTTTACCCACGAATAATCCATATTACATGTATTGCTCACGGAGTTCACAGGATATTCGAAAAACTTCGAAGCCAATACGCAAACATTGACTCCTTAATCGCTAATATAAAAAAAGCGTTTTCAAAAAGCCCCTCAAGAATTCGTTTTTTTAAAGAAAAACAACCGGATCTCCCTCTACCTCCTCAACCTGTAAGTTGCAAATATTTAAAATATATATGCAAATAGTGTGATTAAAAAAAAATTTTGATTTCAAAGGTTTTAACGCGCTGGGGAACTTGGCTTGAGGCAGCATCTTATTTTGCAAAGAACTTCAACGAGATCAAAGAAATAGTTGAAGGTCTTGATGACGATGCGGCCTGCGTTATTTTTGCGAAAAAATTGTTTGCAAATAAGGGCATCCGAGAGGAGTTGGCTTATATCCAGGCAAATTTTGGTTTCCTATTAAGCGAGGGAAATGCTTTCAAAATGCTTCAGAAAAGAGGTATTGTATTATTCTTATACCTGTGTTTACTCGTATATATAAAGTTTCTAATTTATTGGTTTGTATTTACATATAAAGGTGAACCTATTAGCAATCCATTGGCAATTCTCAACAGCATAGAAAACAATTTAAAACAGGCCAAGGGACCAGTAGCTAAAATTATATTGGACAAATTTTATAAAGTATTCCAATCGAATCAAGGCCTGCAAGTTATAAAAAAAGTTGCCGCAATTGTGAATGGTGAAAAGTTTGTGGAATTACCAGAAAATATAGCTATAAATGAAGTTGAGTTTTTGAATTGGGCACCATTGGTATTTGTAGATGTTGAGAGGACATTTAGTTCCTTCAAAGCTATGCTTCGGGATAATCGCATGAGATTACTGCCCGAAAATTTCAAAATGCATTTAGTAGCATTGTGCTACTATGAAAGCACCAGCGGTTAAAGCATTCAACCAATTTAAATATGTAAATATTTTTGAATATATATGCATACATGTATTTACAATGTACATTGTACATATCGAGTATTGTCTGATTGTACACCCATACTTAAATATGTACCAAACAAGACTAAAAAATAAATGCCTTTTTTTTGCCTTTTTTAAAAACTAAATTTGCCTATTTCTCAGGTTTTAGCGCCTATAAATCCTATCCCTGGTAATCAGCAATTTAGCTAAACTATAAAAAGCTTTAGACCTCACAAAGTTTTCAATTTAAAATTTAACTTGATCTTTGTTTGCCAATTTCCTTTTCTGTTCTTCAAAAATTGCCACCCATGTTCTTACATATTCATTACTAACTTTTCCACAATTAATTTTAGTCCTGACAAACTCTGACCGAAATCCAGCGCAAACATTTTTAATTCGACATACAAAGGTATATACAGTGCCGGAAAAAAGTATTGGCACAGAGAACATTTTTCGCACTATATGCAAAGTTTTTTATTCATATTTATTTTCAATATTTTTTAATAAAAATATATGTAGTTCGTACTTCACCAAAACACATAAAAACATAATCTCTAAACTATGTGCAAAACTCAGGAAAATTCAATAAATTTGCATACTAATTTGCAACACTCTATTCAGTTTTTTTTTTTTTTTAATTTCTTAGTTTGCCGTTTTATAGCGCATTCAATTTTAGTATAACAAAGTGCAAGTTCGAAGTATCTAGAAAATCGCGTTAATTTTTGGAAATTTTTTTTAGTGGAAGGTGTTGCTCATTTTCTCCATAGAGTAAATAATTGTCGAACATACTTTGTATGGAAGAATCTGAGTGAAAAAAATTCCATAAATCAAAAACCTGAATAGAAAGTTGCAAACTAGTATGTAAATTTATTGAATTTTCCTGAGTATTACACAATGTTTAGAGACTTAGTTTTTATGTTTTTTGGTGTAGGACGAACTATATTTTTATAAAAAAAATATCAAAAATAAATTAGAATAAAAAGCCTTGCAGGTATTGCGAAAAATTCTCTTTGCCAATACTTTTGTTCGACACTGTACATACACACATATACCAAATTCAGATGCCAACATAGCATTCATTGCTCTAATCATTAATCATAGCATTTGAAATGAACTTTGCCGACATTGCTAACTCGACAAAGATTTTATTACCATCAACGCCGAACATCAAGGTCACTTTTCTCCTGCTCAGTTCTGTATGTAGTCAGAGAAAACTTTTCTTTTGTTCCCTCAGCTGCCGATTGTCTGCCATTGCTTGTGCGTATGAATTTGTGTGCAAAATACTTCACCGACCGACGCACACTATGCTGACGAGAAGTCGGAGCAAGTTAAGTGAAGTTCCCGTACATCCGTTGCTAATACGCTTTGCGCTCTTCACCTGGCTTCACTTTCAGTGATAACTACTGCTGTTGGTTGAATTTTTTCTCCTTTCAAATTTATTTTGCCAGAGGCTTCTTAGTTGTCCTGTCGTCTATCGTCTCTTCTTCCTCTTCTTCTTCTTCTTATTCCTCTTCTTCTTCTTCTTTACTTTACAATGACTGATATTCCAACTCGCTGACACAATTTTATTTTTATTTAACTTTTATTTATTACCACAGTTGCCGCCTTAGACGTTGTCATTGTCGTCCAAATCGACTTGCTTGTGTTGGTTACTTGTATTAACTATCTTTATCATCACAATTCGCGGTTAGCTGTTGGCCACATTGAGACTTCCAGACAGGAAATTGCAGTATTACGACAGCAGACGACATTGAGTGGCTTCTTCAAAGGGTGCGGGCAGGAAGAAAATGCATAAATTGAGAAATATAATTGAGCAGAGCAGAAGAAAGAAAATTCTTCAACACGAAAGGCAGTCATGCAATACAAAAAGTGGTTAATATAAGTGCGCCATAAGAAACACACAAAAAAAAGCAGAAAAATTGTGTCTCGATGGAGCCACACTACATTTAACTTTTGAACTACTGACACTGTGTGCGGTACATTGAAGAAAACTGGATTTTTCTTCTTCTTTTTCTTCACCTTTGGTGCTACGACCGTTTACCATTTTGTGCTGAACTTCATCTCTATCTCCTGTGAAGTTAAGCCAGTAGATGATCCAAAGTGTTATAACATTGTTCTGCACTTGGCATTTCAACTGTGTTTCTCACCGGTACCTTACCAATCATACGCATTACATACATGTCCAATCCAGCAGAATCGTTCGATTAAAAGTCCCCAAAACTTTTTCATCTTTGTACGGCATCGTTCAGCTTTCTGCGTCGCATACAAATTTGTTTGGTGACATTAGAAATCAAACCACACTTATATGACCTATAATCCATCAGTCTTTCGCATAATAGCGTCGATAGAACCTTATACGAAATGTTAGGAATGGTCATCCCTTATTGCGTATTTGATAAAGTCATTGAGATTCCACTATTTGGAATTGTATTCATTAGACCAAATTCTGCTTAATAGCCGAGGCTTTATTCATTTTGATCTACCCATCCTTATACAAATATAGATCTGGGGGGTTCTTCTTCAAACCGGCCAGCCGTGTCGCCACTCAAAAGCGTTGGGAAGTGTTCGCTTCATATCCCAAGTGTACTCTGTGCGTCTATTGGCAGATTTCCTTGTTTTCTTTGAAGAAATAAGTTCGGTATTGAAACCATTTGATGGGCGCCTTATTTCCTAACAGAATTTTCTAGCCGAATTTTTGGCTGCCAGCAGCTCAAATTCATCAAACTCAAGTTTTTCTTCCTCACTTTTCTTTGCCTCTATTTGCGTCTATTTTCCCTTGCTTTTTTCGGTCCCGCTAAATTGTCGCGCGTGTCACCACAAGCTGCTGGGTGGCTTGGTATGCTGCGTGTTTCTCTGCACCCCCTACTGGCGCTCTGTGTCATCCCATTTGTTTCTGCATGGTTGGTAATAGACAACAACCAGCATGAATTGGTTGGGAAACGTATTTCCTCTGCTTGATTATGCAGCATTGCGTGTCGATTGCCAAACTTCTCGCACGCTACAAATAGTTTACCGATATGTCCCGCCCATCGTAGTTCCTGAACTGCTGTGTTGACAGCCTGTGGTTTTATGACTTCCAGCAGTTCAATAGCGGCATTTTCTCCATAGAGAGCCCGGACATTCCAGTTGCATATCCGTAAATCGTAGTCTTTATTCCGTATTCGAGGGGGGCAATTGTCAGGCTTCTTCAATCTAACCATTGTTTCACGTTTAGCTAACGAGCCTAGCAGGCAAGACACTGCTGCGGGTCTGCTCTCTAGGCATGGGTAACACTGCGCTGCGCGGCGCAATTGCGCTAACACCATAGCCGGAGCTATGCTTTACTCAAAAATTACGAGAATATCGTGGCATTTACTACATTCCTAGCAGTTCAATTCGGTTAGCGCTACACTCTTTGCTCAGCGCGGAAAATTAAAGAAATAATAGACATGACACCATTCATTATTCACTTCTCTGAAAACTATTACTTTTTCGACAAAATTGAATATAAACACCTTTCTCGAATTTTTATTCAGTAGTCATTTGGGAGCAGCAATCAGAAATCATTAAAAAGGCGTTGGAATCCGATTCAACTTATTTACCAGACCCTCCCACTTTAAGCAAATGGTATGAAACAAAAATAGCTTGTACATAAAAGAGAAGCCACATTTTAATGAAAATGAAATTGAGAGTTAGACTTCTGGTATATAAGATATCCGCCTGTAAAACTTAACAAACCGGTAGGCGAGTTTGGTTAAAATAACATAAAAACAATTATTGGCCTACAAATTGAAGGGTAATTAAATTAAAGCAACAGATGTTCCAATAAAAATTACCGACCCCTGCAGAGGCATGCAACGTGTACCACCCAAGTAGATTGGAATAATGTGCTGTGGTTTTCTCAAGCTCTTTTTTATTTCGCTCTATTTTTGTGTTCATCTTTTTATACCCGAGCGCACTTGTGCACAAGGGTATTATAACTTTGTTCACATAACGGTTGTTTGTAACAGGCAAAACGAATCGAGATAGATATAGACAAATGTATACATAAATGATCAGGATGAAAAGAGAAATCGATTAAGCGGTGACTGTCTGTCCGTCCGTCCGTCTGTCCGTCCGTCTGTGCACACGATAACTCGAGTCAAAATTAATATATCTTAACGAAACTTGGTGCGTGTACTTCTTTCGGGCGTAGGACGGATGGTATTGAAAATGCGAAAAATCGGACAATAACCACGCCCTCCCATATAACGGTAATTTTCAGAAATACGAAAACTGCGATATTTTAGTAACTACTGAAGATTATTCACTCAAAATTGATATTTACAATAATTTTTAGACGAAAAATAAGAATATTATAAATTTTTGGAAAATGGGCGTAGCCACGCCCACTTATGGTTACATGTGTATATCTTGGTAACCGCTGCACCAATTTCTTCCAAACTCCTCACGGCCTTGATACAGCATACTAAATGGCCGAAAATTTAAAAAATCGGTAATTTTCGGAAATACGAAAACTGCGATATTTTAGTAACTACTGAAGATTATTCACTCAAAATTGATATTTACAACAATTTTTAGACGAAAAATAAGAATATAATCAATTTTTGAAAAATGGGCGTAGCCACGCCCACAACAACTGTGAGGAGTTTGGAAGAAATTGGTGCAGCGGTTACCAAGATATACACATGTAACCATAAGTGGGCGTGGCTACGCCCATTTTCCAAAAATTTATAATATTCTTATTTTTCGTCT